ACTTTGCCAAAGGGTGAAGTTTGAAATTTTCAAATGTAAAAAATTTGTCGAAAAACACCTATGCCTCATATCATTATGGATTGATCATTTTGCTGAAAGTTTTAACATGCACAGGCTGCAAACCTCTGATGCGAGGCGTTGACAAGTTATTTTGATAATGAACGATATTTTGTCACTCATTTACTGTATATTTTTTGTTATTCTTTTACTGGAGGATCCGGAGGCCTGTTATGTCCGCGTAGAAACACAATTTAGTGCAATTGAATGTTTGCAGTTAGGTTGCAAAGTATGCCCTCTTCCTTTGTAATAGCTGATCCGAATTTGTCTTGCAGGACTCTGACTTCCATTCTTTTTGCGTGTTAAGAAAACAAGATTAAGTGTTAGGGGCAAGTTGTATCTGTATTTGAAACTGGTGCCTGTCCCCTGGCAGGCAAACATACTTGGATATCTGCGACATAAAAGTTTATTCAGCAGCATCATTGTTTATAAAAAATACATGATGAAAAACGGGCAACGATTCAGGTAATAGGTTCCAGGTTAGGATAAAGAATGTAATTAATATTCCATGAATACAAGAACCTGTCTTGAATTAGAAATCGGCTAATCTGTACTGAGAAGAATCTATACAAGAATCGTCTGTTGTTTTAAGGGCAATCCGGCAATGAGATTAACACCTTGCCCAAAAGCCAGGATACACGAACAGCAGTATACTGTGCCGAGTTTTTAATGTCTGGAGAAAACAAGAAATGTCTTATGCGTATTCTCTATTATATGAATTGCGGATCGCGATTCTTGACTCTTTGTCCATAGAAAGACTGAGACAACGCTGGTTGGGTGACAGCTGGAAGTAGACAGAAATGAACATCATTCACCACACTAAAATAATACAAGAACTTTGGAGCATAATGTATATGAAGCGAGTCAGATAGCCAGAGGATAGTATGCAAATGCTATTGCATTATTTTTGTTTATAAATATGTTTTTATTTTTAATGATCTAACAGTAACCTATATTCGTGCATAATCTCTTCACGTTTGTAGAAACTCAGCGTCAGCATTAAGTGAATTATCGCTGGATGAGATGCCTTTCCATATTTTGGTGTTGGTGTGCAATCCATCGCTGTTCAAAAACCCATATCTGGCCGCTGGGGTGATCGAAGTTATCTTCTTGCTGTGCTCGCAGTCCCATGCTGCAGCGCGTAATTTTTTACAAGCGATACTGAATCATCCCTTATCCGCTGCCAACCTGTACAAGTCACTGACGAAGTTCTACTCAGGTAAGAGTTCATTCATTCACAAACAGTCTTATGCCCAAACAGTAGATGACATAAGGAGAATATTTCACTCTGTTTCGTTGGGAATTAGCTTGAAAGCATTTGTTTCCAGTCGTTTATCTTGGCGATTCTTTTTCGATAGCTTTTCCTGTCAGGATATTTGTGAGAAATTACAAGGAGCTTCTAGGGGTGTCAGGGCACAGTTGCGGTGCAAGAGTATACGTTTGTGTCGGTTTGCTGTCATGTGATTTCATATTTTGTGTCGAGTAATTTTATCGTTGCCTTTTCCATTTTCAGCGAAGACATCGAAAGTGGATTTTAACATTACTGAGATAACGTCATCATCGTCATCATTAGCTTTTTTTGATCAGCGGCTGGACGAAGGCCTTCAAGACTTTGCTGTAAACTTCTATTTTCCTCTGGTCATATCCATTTTGGTCTGCGAACTTGTTCGACTAAACACGCCTTCTATCCAGAAGTCTTGCTACACGCAATTTACTCTCTTTCCAAACTCAATCTAATGACTCTCTGCTCCAGCGATGGTCGAATCGTATTTCAACGTGACCTGCCCATTGCCACTAGGACTGTCATCGTAGGCTCTTGTTTGTGCTCCTGCCTGTTCATTCGTCTTCCTAGTTTTTCTTGCTATTCCCAACATAAACATTTCAATGCTGAATTGCCTAGTCTGCAGTTTATGAATAACCTCTAGGTTCAGGGTCTACGTTTGGCGTCCAGATATTAGCACTGGGAGCAATACTGATTAAAAAATTTTCATTTTAAGAACGAGGGTAGTT